GAGACAGAGGGTAATTTTATTTTTGTAGTTTTAGTATAAAGGTGATGTAGAATTTCGCCCCCATCGGCCTCTCTGTCTTCCTGTGAGCAGCGTTAAGGAATGGATTATTTCATTGCTACCGCCGCTGGGTCACCTCCAAGTCATCTGCTGCCCTGACACAGGAGAGTAAATATAGGAAGGAGCTGTGGAAAGCAGGAAGCCGGTTCTGCTCTAAATGCATCACCACAATACAGCGAGGCGGAAGGAGGGACATTGGGCTGTAACACATTACTTAATCTGCAACAAAATAAACACTTAAAAGCTGAACTGCTGCGGGTACAAAACTTTTATCTAAATATATCCCACTGCAAAATGATATAAAAACACTTTGTGTGCTCCAAATGCATTTGCAAGCCAAGATATTAACTTGTATAAGTAGAGGTCACATCATCACCATTCTGTGCATAGCCTGTGCCGAGAGCAGCCCGGAAGCACCCACCCACTGCAGGAGGGGGCGGAGACAAGACCAGTCACCCTGCACAAGGAGAGCAGCAGTGAGCGGTCTTTATTACAGGAGGGGGCGGAGACAAGACCAGTCACCCTGCACAAGGAGAGAGCAGCAGTGAGCGGTCTTTATTACAGGAGGGGGCGGAGACAAGACCAGTAACCCTGCACAAGGAGAGAGAGAGCAGCAGTGAGCGGTCTTTATTACAGGAGGGGGCGGAGACAAGACCAGTCACCCTGCACAAGGAGAGAGCAGCAGTGAGCGGTCTTTATTACAGGAAGTGTGAAAAGAATTATCCAAATAAAGAATTATTTTCCTTCACTTTCCCCGAGTAAGGAAAACCCTGACTGGCTGCCGGGGGCCCTGAGGCCTGCGCGGTCTTTACGAAAAGGCCCCAGATTGGGCAATGGGCCCTAGAACATACGATTGCCCAGCTTATGTTTCTATGCACACACACACGCATGTTCGACGTTTCTGCTGATATGTTTGTTCATATGCAAGTTTTAAATAGTCCTCATAATGCACCTCCATGTTGTGGCCCCCGGACCCCGGCTCCAGAGTCCTGCTTTTAGCATCCTGTAACCCAATGCAGATGACCCTTGAGGAGTTTTCACACGGTGCTCTGCTTGCCCAGCGTACCTCCACTCGTGCCAACCAAAGCTCCTACGTACCCTGAGCCTTAGCGGCTATTTTGGGATCGCTGCCTCGGTCACCCCTCTGCTAATGTTACACTTCTCTCCCAGATCACTAATAAAACTCCCATCCCCCCCCCCAAGCCCAATCACAAATCCCTCTGAAGGCGTGTGCTGTGTACACTGTACGAATAACAAAAGGCAATCACAGACAAGTTTTAGCAAGCACCGAGTCCGGGTGTCCGGGTTACTGAGGGTCACACTCCGCCCCTCCGTTCCCCTGCTACCTCTCCATTTTATAGTTGAGTTGTCACCAGAACAGGTAATCTTCCAACACACTTATTCCAGTGACAACCAAGAGGGGACTTCTGCTCACTTCCTGTTGTGTCTCTCAGACAGGAAACACAAAGTGATGTTTCCCTATTGGGGGCCAGCGATTCCCCTCCCCCCCAGCTTTGGATGGGTCGTCGCCAGTTGCCCATCTGCCATCAGTAGTCAGCTCATGGCCGGGCCTTTACCAGCTCCAATGTGACCTTTCCTTGGTATAGGGATGATGTGTTTTGCTGCTTTGTTCCCCCCACGGTCACTCACGGGTTTTTCATTTGAATAAACCATTGGACGTTCACATTCTACACCATACTCGCTCCTTTGCCGTGTCCCCCTTTTCTTTTTTCCTGTTTCTATGCACGAAACCCCTACTTTTGTGTCAGACTGTGGAAATCCCCGGCACAGTAAGCATTGCGTAGTGCTGCTTTGTGCACAAGACAATCAACCTTTTTTTAGGCTTTTGGAAGTTACGCAGGGCTAGGACTCAGTGGTCCAACTAAGCAACCGAGAGGCCCAGCGAGCACAGGAAGGGAAGTATCAGTTGGCCAAGTGACAGTCTTTACAAGACTCAAACGTGGCGACAGATAAAACCCAACTCTAGTAAATGCCAAAACATACCAAATAAAGGACAAAGGAACCAAGACATTGTCAAACTAACCTGGTGACAGAGAATGGTCTGCTGGACCAGCTTGGCATATCGATCTAGGCGGACACCAGAGTTGCTCCGGCTTCTCATCGCGGTAAACGGTCAGACACTGAACCCTGTGAATGAAAGAATCCTTAAATGTTAAAGTTTATCATGCTAACTTCTACGGTTACTCTATATGGCCAAATGTTTGTGGAAAGCACCTGATCATCAGACTTATATGGAATCATTAGGACATCCCATTCCAAAACTGTCAATATGGAGGGTTGAAGTCGGGGCTCCATGCAGGTTATTCAAGGTCCTCCAAACTAAACAGGTCACACCTTGTCTTTATGGAGCTGGCTTTGTACACAGGGGTCAGTTATGGTGGAACAGGAAGGGGCCTTCACCAAACTGGTCACACCATGTCTTTTTGGGGCTGGCTTTGTACACAGGGGGCAGTCATGGTGGGACAGAAAAGGGTCTTCACCAAACCTGGTCACACCATGTCTTTATGGGGCTGGCTTTGTACACAGGGGGCAGTTATGGTGGAACAGAAAGGGGCCTTCACCAAACTGGTCACACCATGTCTTTATGGAGCTGGCTTACATGGTCACACCATGTCTTTATGGGGTTGGGGCAGGGGGCAGTCATGGTGGGACAGAAAAGTGTTGTTACCACAAGGTTGTAACAACACAATTGTCTACAATGTCTATGCATGTTGTAGAAATTAGCAAGACCATTCACAGGAAAAACCTGAACACAATCGTTTGGAGGGGTTCCAATTCCTCCAAGGGAGGTGTTCAGTAGGGTTGAAGTTGGGGCTCTGTGCAGCACACTCAAGTTCCTTCACACCAGAACGGTCAAACCATGTCTTTATGGAGCTGGCTTTGTGCCCATGAACTCAATCATTCCTATGGTGCACCTATGTTGCCCAAAGTGTTTCTATGTTCTATAGGGTTGAGGTCAGGGCTCTGGTGTGGAGGAACTTGAGTGGCCTTCGCAATCTGGTCCAACCATGTCTTTTTGGACTGAACTCAATTCTTTGAAAGGGGCTCCACATTGTAGGTCTGCTGGTCAGGTGTCCACATAACTTTTGGCCATCTAGTGTAGCTTGAAGAGCCAACCAAGACTCAATAGATATGTAAAATGTACATAGGACGGGAGCTACTCTAAGATCTACTGCAGCATGGTAGGTTCCATTCTACTAAAAAAAAAAAAAGACATACAAGAGTGAGTTTACATTGAAGAACACCAGAATCCTCCAGAAGACCAATGTTAGGAAATCTGACAAGTTCCTGCCACCCAAATAAGAGTCTTCCCATTTGGTAGTAGTATTATGTTGGACATTAAAATGGAGTGGTCTCCCCTTTACAGCTAGAACGTCCTCCACTCTTGTGGGAAAGCTCTCCACAAGGTTTTTGAGGGTGTCTGTGGGACTTGGTGCCCATTTGTGAGGTCAGGTACTGATGTTGATTGAGAAGACCTGGATCACAATAGGTATTCTAATTCATCCCAAAGGTGTTCAGTAGGGTTGAGGTCAGAGCTCTGTGCAGGACACTCGAGTTCCTCCACACCAAACTGGTCATACCATGTCTTTATGGAGCTTGGATGTTAAAATGGAGTTGTCTTTCCTTTCTGGCTAGAACATCCTCCACTCTTGTAGGAAGGCTCTCCAGAAGGTTTTGGAGGGGGTCTGTGGGAATATGTGAGGTCAGGTACTGATGTTGGATGAGAAGACCCGGCTCACAATCGGTATTCCAATTCATCCCAAAGGTGTTCAGTAGGGTTCAGGTCAGGGTTCTGTGCAAGACACTCAAGTTCCTCCACACCAAACCCAACAACTCATGTTTTAATGGAACTGGCTTTGTACCATGCTGAGGACAGCAGCTTTACAAACTTGCTCTGAAGGAAAGAAAGGAACGTAGCTAGAGAGGGGAAGGAGTTTTCAGGACAATGTACCCTGTCCTACTGCATGCATAAAAAAGGAGGAGATCTGCTTTAAATAGTAAACACCAATCACCGGTGTCATCTGCAACAGTGATAACATGACACAAGGATGCTGGTCTTTGAGGAAGAGGTTCAAAGAGGAAGTCAGATCTAAGCCTCGCAGATTAAATTAAAAAGGAGATAAAATGGACAAAAGAGTATAATGCATGGAAGAGTCTAAGCTTGAGGTGTTGGATCACAATGGACATGAACCCAAAAGTGAGGAGTTGGTGTCTTCTAGAAATGTTAAGCGTGCCCAAGCCGTACCTTGGAAAATCCTCCTTTAGTCCTGAATTCTTTCTGAAAAAAATATAGCAGTTCACTTCCTGTTCCTAGGCACTCCTGTTCTGAAGAACATCTAAGGCAGCGGTTGCCAACTGGTGGTCCGCGAGAACATTTTGGTGGCCCGAAATTGGCCCCCGGGCCCCTCCGATGCCGTGCAGGCTGGGTCCTCATTGAAGCGGCACGGAGGCTCCGGGGCTGCCTCTCACTGACTCAAGGAATGCGCGGCTCTCAGTACCCGGACTGAGCAGGCTGACACACCCGTAAATTATTTTTTTTGTATTCATATTAGTAGTCCGTGGGATTTAAAATGATGAATTTAGTGCTCCATGAGAGGTCCGAGAGGGTGGTGGCCGCTGATCTGATACTGCTACCTCTGACTGGGCTCTGGGCTCACCAGATTTGGAATGACATGAGGTGATGTCACTACTGCTTTCCCTTATTGTTCTCCTTGCTGGAGAAGAAGCTGTACCCGAGGACATACAGTACAAGGATCTCCCTGGTCCATCCATTCTATGAATCTGTGTTTCCTTCACCTTTCCTGCTGCCTCCTAAATATTCCTCCACCATCATCAGATCACCAGTCAAAAGGGGGGAAGCTCTGACAAGAGGAAGCAAATCCCTGCCTCTACCAAGATGGCTGCCTACATAAAGAGACATGCAAAATAGGCACGGTAAGTCAGTTCTGGGGGAAAAGATCAGCTGCCACAACAGACAATACCGTGGTTCCAGTGCAATGCCCTCTTCTTGACTTGCGGGCGGAGCTTCCACAGCACAGACGCTCTACATAGAGAACATGTGTGAGATGCAGAGCAAGTGAAGGATGCTGGAGGGATTTGTAATACCCTTTGTAGAGCCTGAGGGAGAAAACGCAGTGGTAGAGAACCAAGTTCATAAGCAATGTCGCCCTTCTATGTACAATGTTTATTCTGTGAACCCAAAATGGAGCCTTCTTCAGCTGAGAAGTCTTCCAGGCAACATGGTGCGGGCTCTGGGATTGTATTGTCTGATGATATAAACCGAGATGTGACTTCTGCTATTGAGCTTCCTTCCTTTCATGGCACTTTGATACATTATTGCAACAAAGCCACCTTAGACCTTTTTACAAGGACAGGGGACCTTGGGTGGGCACCTTGGACAAGAACCATGAAACTTGGGAGGGCTCCTGCCGTCTTGCGTGGGCTCCTTGCTTCCTGGGCAGGCTCCTTGCTTCCTGGGCAGGCTCCTTGCTTCCAGGGCAGGCTCCTTGCTTCCTGGGCAGGCTCCTTGCTTCCTGGGCAGGCTCCTTGCTTCCTGGGCAGGCTCCTTGCTTGGCTG